GGAACTGGGGACAGGGAACTTGGGACAGGGAACTGGGGACAGGGAACTGGGGCCAGGGAACTGGGGCAGCAAACTGGGGACAGGGAACTTGGGACAGACCTGGGGGCAGGGAACTGGGGGCTTAAGGGGGGGCTTAAGGGGGGGCCTCAGGGGGGGCTTAAGGGGGGGCTTAAGGGGGGCTTAAGGGGGTGCTTAAGGGAGGGCTTAAGGGGTGGCTTAAGGGGAGGCTTAAGGGCGGGCTTAAGCTTCGGTACCTTCGGCGGGGGGGGGGGAAGGGGGGGGACCTTCGTCGGGGCTTAAGGGGGGGCTTAAGCCCCCTCCGAAGGTCCCGGGCCCAGCCTCGTTCGCTCGCTTGCATTGACAGGGCCCGAAGGAAAACCACTGCGAAATGTTTCCGAAAGCTTCAAACTGCCGAGAACAGACCAGCAGCGCAGCCGAAATGAATGTAGTTGCGAAGCAAGGCAGTCCCTACGACAGTTGTCAACTCCTCCCCAGAGGAGGACAAGGATGCCACTTCAAAGACTTGCAGCGATGACGATGACTCCTGAACAGCTTTGCCACGGGAGGTCACAGAAAGGCAAGTACATCATCAGGCTCGAGGGAGAGCCTAGATGATCATTGGGAGCCGCTTGGCTTGCGTTGACTTGTGCTTGATGCTGAGAGTCAAATGTCTGTTGAATGCCTGTACCATGCAGTGCCCCTCTACAAGAGTGAAACAAGGTGAAACGTCGTCACCCTATGTCTGGTGTCCCAAGTAAAACTGTACTCTTTGCACCCATCCAGGACCGACACTGAGGTGCCAGCCTGGGAGCTGTCTATCTGGGTTGTTGCGCTGTACAGGGGTGCCAGCAACAGCGAAAGATGTCGCCTGCAGGACCGACTCTGAGGTGCCAGCCTGGGACGGGCAAGCGGGTCATCAGTCCAGGTTCCTGCGTGGCTCATCATCAAATTCCTCGGCATTGAAGGTCCTACTGCTTCCTTGATCAGGCGCCAGGAGGTTGATCCATCCTGGCATGTGCAACTTGTCACACAGTTCAAAGGTGTCTCTTTCAACATAGGGTCCTCTCCATGTGGCTTTGTTTTCCATTTTGATGAGCCGACTGAGTTGCGTACATCCAAAGAAATCTCGTTGAGCAATGTAGATCAAGGCTGGCGGGGTGAGCGCTTCATGCAGCGAGGAACAAAGCAGGAAGGCTTCTTTGCCTATGCGACGCAACCTTCGTGGGAAGCATATTTGCTCCAAGTGCAAGCAGTGCGCAAAGGTCGATCCCCATATAGTGGTAATACTAGTACCAAAGAGATCAACCCTCTGCGACCTCTTGCAGTTTTCACATGCAGTAGGTCCTACGAAGTTGAAATCTGCTGGTCATTCTATAAGTGCTCGATGCTTGATCCAAGGAAGCTTCCCTCCGGTATATATCGCAAGAAGCAGCATTCTGCAAACACCCTACGTCCAAATTGTTTACACCCCGGGACTAGAACCATAACCATCTTGAGCACGTAGCGTCCTTGGAAGGCACCATCCTGGAGACAAACAACCGTGGCCGGCAGTTTGACAATTTGGAGTTGCTGACAACTTTGCCAGGCTGACTCTCCGTCTCCAACTGTGTGTATGCTTGGTTCCACCCGTACATGCCTGACGTCTGAGACATACGAGAAGGCATTGGGCAGCACGCGATCAGTGTCTTCGGCAGGAACGTGAATGGCTTTGGCTTTTTGTCTCAGTTGCCCCTTATGTTCAGCCTTAACGAAGCACTGCCGAACAACGAGGCTTGTCGTTGCGAGCGCCCTTCGCTGTGGGAAACTTTGGAAGTGAGAGAACATTTGGAAGCGAAGCTTCGCATGGCCGACGCTTTGAAGCTCGATTAGGGGTGTGCCGAGCCCCCTCGAGCTACTGTCGCTATGTATTCGTGTTTGCTTGCAGAGAGGCGCATCGCCAATTTTGGAAGGCCTACAACCTCTCCTACCTGACCTACTGTGGCGACGCACATGGTACGGAACAAAACGGCATCAATGATTTAAGTACAGGATGCTTATTTTGCAAGGTCTGCTCACTATATGCTTTTGAGACTTCGTTCAAACATTGTCCAAAGCTACATTCGAAGACCGCCCCCCAATCGCGTAGGTCTCGTAGAGTTGACTGGCAACTCTGACAAGGCCAGCTCTGAGGCCACTCAGGTGGGAAAAGCGGATCAGACATCTGGGACCTGCTCGAAACTGTGAGACAGTGACGGGCGACAACCTCTCCTCTGACCTGTGGCGACGCAGATGGTGCGGAACAAGCGGATGACCTCTGGCACAAGACTTGTGGCGGGCATTTTTTCAGACGATCGATTTTGAGAAGGACCTTCCGACTGGGAAGAGCGTGACTGCACTCCAAGCTCGGAGCGAAAAGTCTCAATGGAGAACGGCTCAAGCCCCACTAACGGTGCATCAAGAGAAGACGCTCCAACTTCCCTCTTCGGCTTGACAACCCTGCTCTAAAACGCGGCTTCCCATGCATGACTGCACAACTATGTTCTCTAAAGCGCGGCTTTCCATGGATGGCTCCACAACTGTTCTCTAAAGCGCGGCTTTCCATGGATGACTTCACAACTCTGTTCTCTGAAACGCGGCTTTCCATGGATGACTTCACAACTCTGTTCTCTAAAGCCCGGGCTTTCCATGGATGACTTCAGAACTCTGTTCTCTCACAGTCGGCTATTCACTGCTCGGATCTCGACTCAGCTCTCTGAGGTACACAGACTCGGATTCACCACTCGGATCTCTAAGAGATGTAAGTGAACAGTCGAAACTAAGTCAACCAAGGTGGCCGCAGTGAAGCACTCATGAATGAGCCCGCACCTGAACGTTGACTTTGTTCGTGAGTTGTAGTGGCTATTCTTGGACATCCCTGTGTGCCAAAGAGCACAATCAGGAGCCTCTGAATTCTTTCTGATGCAGCAAAGATCTTGGAAACTTGAGCAGCCTCACTGACAACCCACAGGACCGTGGAAAAATCGAGAGTCAGACCACAACAGAAGCAAGTGTGCAAAATTCAATGCGATGTCCAAGGCCAACACGTGGCTTTCCATGGATGACTTCACAACTGTTCTCTAAAACGCGTTTCCATGGATGACTTCACAACTCTGTTCTCAAAAGCCCGGCTTTCCATGGATGACTTCACAACTCGCCGCTCTCTCTCTCTCTCTCTCTTTCTCTCTCTCTCTGAGGTGCAAAGACTCGCGCTCACCACTCGGCTCTAAGGTGCAAAGACTCGGATTCACCATTCGGCTTTCACTCTTCAGCTTCTGGCTCCGTTGTCTCACCATGTCCCAAGTTCCTGTTGTGATGCGACGTCTCACCGAATCAATTCTGATATCATCTTCATGGATTGGCTCTCGAATTGTTCTGGTGACTGATTCTCTGGTCTGCAGTGATTCTTTCTTCCATGCTCTCGATTTCCACGGCAATCAACAACCTGTGGGTTGTGTTGAAAGTGAAGCCAGCCAAAAACAGGAAGATTTCTCAACCTTTTGCTGATTTTCCTGAGCTTGGAGACGCCAAGATTTTCTTTGTAAGCCGTTTTCCAAGCCAAGTTCGTACAAACCCTGCAACAACCTGTGGGTTATCAGTGAGAGTGAAACTTCCAAGATCTTTGCTGCATTGGAAAGAACTCAGAGGCTCCTGATTGTGCTCTTTGGCACACAGGGATATGTCCAAGAACAGCTGCTACACTCACGAACAAAGGCAATTCTTGCTTGTTCATGAGTGCTTCACTGCGGCCACCTTGGTTGACTTAGTTTCGACTGTTTGCTCACATCTCAGCGGAATTCGGTATTTCTTTTGATACCTGACATTTTGTTGAGTTGTGGAGAACTTTGTGGCTGGGGTGACAGCCTACGATGCTACTGGACACAACGAAGCAATGTACGTGCAACAGCTGAACCACGTACAAGTTGAAAATTCGATGGCTTGGCATGTTGACGCTAGAATGAGTGGACACTTCGAACCGTGAGGGCTGTGGGTCCAAAAGGTCTCTGCCGTTTGACAGTTAAAGAAGAGTTTTCTTAGTTTTTGGACTGTGTAGCTCAAGAGTTAGAGACTTGTGACTTGTTTTGGCTGCGTGAATGCTTTGTTGAAAGCCTCAATGCTGGGCTTTTGGCTCAAGGGCAGGTTCCCGTTGTCGACCGCTTTTGTGACTCAAGGTGGGTGTGTGCATGCTTCCCACTGAGAGGTGGAAAACGTGGTTTGTTTTGCATTGTTGGGTTCGATGTTTTTGCAGTGCGCCTGCCAAACTGAATTTGAAGGACAGCAGTTGTCCTTGGAGCCTGTTGTGGCATTGCTCAAGACTTACAGCCTCATTGGACATGCAATTGTTCGCAACCCAGCACGTTTTCGTTTTTTTCATTTGGATTATTTGATGTGGCTGTATCTTTGGAAACTGCTCTTGGTTTTGAGTTGGGGGCTCCAATTCGTGTTGAATAATCACGACAACAGCGCAGCTAGTTGGTCGCGCTTGTTTTGTTTTCTTTTGTCCTGGAAAAGTCAATGAGTGCGATTTGTCAGGTGTGGTTGATACCCCTCTGTTTCATTGTCTCACTTGTTTACGGAACTTCTGTGCCTGGAACATTTTCTGCATGTGTTTGAGTGGGCTTGGAACGCAATCTAATTAGTTGCACCTTTGCCCGTTGCTCAGCTTTCGGTCCAGAGGAATCACGTAAGCGAACTCAGCACGAATTCAACGAAGGTGATGTTAACAATCTGGGTGTGCTGAACACTGGGGATTCAAATAGAGATTGCTTTTGTTGGCACTTTTCCTTGATTCCTCATTGTCTCATTTGTTTCTGTGATTGTATCTCGTAAGAATTACAATTGGTTAATTGGTTTTCGCGACCTGAAGCTTTACTGGTCAACCCGAGAAACCGCGTAGGACCGGGCAAATCAAGAAGAGTTACACTACCCAACGTAGCACTTGTCAAAGTGCTATTGAGTCAGATGAGACCATGAGCAGCTACTGCATCAGGGGTTATATATAATCAAATTAATTTTGCAAAGGGTACACAATGGAACCGCGTGCAGGCTTGGAAGCGAGTGAACTGAGTGACCACGTGCAATTATAGTGAAAGTGGCTAGTTGCTCATTCGATAACCCATTTGATCGTTTTGCAGAAGAACTTTGGCGCGTCTGTGCAGGTGCACATGTCTTCGTGCAGAACCAGAGGCCACACAATTATTTTTTTGTCAGTTTGGAGAGCGTGAGATGAAATGGCGCTTGAACTTGTAGCACATGACCTTGAGGTCTTTGGTCTTTCGGTCGCCCTTGAACCATGTGATACTGTGAACACAAAAAGAATTCAAATATCTTCTGTGTCACGCCATTCCAGGGAGCAGGGATCATGCTGGAAATTTACAGTGTTTGTTCAAACAACGATTCAACTTCAAAGAGCCAACCAGGCTCGATTACCAAATGTGGCGAGAAGGCTGCGCGCTGCACAACAAAAGAGCAAAGAATGCCAACGAACTCTAGGTTTGGTTTGGTTTACAGAGGCTCGGAGGCTCGGAGGTGGTATTGCTTTCTAGGTTCGGAACGGTGTCACCAAGCAAAGTCCACATCAACAGCCTGGAAGGATGTCGGGGTGGCAGAGCAAAGAGGAATCAGGAAAGAAATCAAAAAAGGATAATGTATATAAAGGAAGACAGGGAAGAAGGATAACAGCAAAGGTCAAAGGGCCAAGAAAGAGGCAGGAACTATTTATTAACCAACTAAAAACTATTTTTTTAAAAAGATTTACATTTTCCTTTTCCACATATATCATATGCTGCTCAATACGCAGACTTACTGCCCCACACACCCGGCCAAACTCAATTGTCTATGCGTCGTCGCATAGAAACGTACCACTTCACCAACTTGTCGAAACATGCAACTTGATCACCAGTAGTTTGGATGTTCTTTTTTGTTGGAGCGCAGTTTTTTGTTTTGTTTGTGTGATCTACACCGAAGGCCGAAGGTTTTGTTTGTTGATTTTTCCTTGTGTTATATTAATATATTTCACACAATTAGTATTGTGTGTTGTTTTCTTCTTGATCACTCAATCTCTAGCAAGCAGATGGATAACTATATTATATGTATCGATCTCAGATTCGATAATCTATGATTTGAACTTTTGATAGGAGTCAGATCCTGGATCACACAAGCCCAGGGCTCGAGGCATGATCTACTAGCAAGTAGTGCCATGATGAAAAGGCTTACTTGTGCACATGCGACCTTTGGGCGTGTTAAGGCTCAGGGTAAAACCCTTTTGCAATCTTTGTTTGATGACCCAGAGAATGAAGAAGCGATCCTTGCTCCTGACTCTAAGCATATGGTATATATATATATAGCAAAATCGTAGCCCACCTTGAACTGCAAAGTGGCAGCAGTTTGCAATTTACTCAGTCACAGTTTCCATTGGTACATTCATACACCTTACACCGTCCGATAATGTGAAGGATGACCTACGAAGGTGTTGCTGAAAAGAAACTCTTCATTAGTCAATGCAAGCCTCCTTGTCTCAGGAGCAGATTCCAGGCGTGGGGATTTTGGAACTTGAACTGCTGGAGATTCCACTTGCGAACTGCGCAGGGTTCCTGTGGGCAAGGACATGCGTGCATGCCTTACTCCGCTTCAAAGACTGATTACTTTGATGTTTTCAATGTCCACTTTGCAGGAACCTTTTTCGGAAGCAAATGACCCAAATCCACATTCTTCACAACCTAAGAATCCTTGGACCCTCCATAGCACCTGTGTTGTTGAACTTTGAAAGGTATTGGCCATTCTGAGGCAGCTTGGTCAGCGAGCTAGAAGATTAAGAGGACACGGCGCAATCATTTAATCTAGTCTGAAAGATGAGAATCATCTAATCTACTTGGAGGAGGCGCTGAGCAATTCTTGAATGCTTGTCGTTGATAGATAATTGCAGTGGATGTTTGAAGGACCAAGCAGGCTTTCAACCAGGAGATTAAAGTGAACAATTCAAGTACAACTTGGCAATGTAAGGGTCAATGTTCATGCGTTCGTGAGAGGACCATCGAGCCTAGCATGCAAACTCCTGAGAAAGCAGAGGCTGGGAGTAATTCGATTTGTTTCTTGGTTCTGTTGTGGTGCGTACGTGAGTTGGGGCAGCTGGGCGGGCGAGTGTACAGCTCATTGGATGCGCAGCGATCACACGTGGTCCGGACCAACAAAGACAGGATGTGCGTGGCTTTCAGTATACTTCTTGCCATTGTGTTCAAGCCCACTACGCTTAAGCCGCTTGAAGCTTTGCAGTCAGCTTTGCCACCAGCATTGCTCATTGCTTTAAAGCCCTTTTGATCAAAAGTGACTGCCCTCCCACTTCAAAACAATTTCCAAGAGTGAGCATGCTGGGCAAGTGTGCCGGGCATGCGGTTTGGCAAAAGTCATACATCTTACTGTACTTGCCCTTTCATGACAGGCTAGGTGCATCGCTAGTGCCTCGCTTTGTGTTGCTCAGCTTGGCGAAATCACGTCTCAGACGTCGCTGTGCCATGGAGTTTTGCCATCTCTCTAAGATCTGTAAGGGAGTTTCCTTTGTATGACGCTTGTATGACGCTTGCAAGCGAGGTTGGGATTTCTGATGCAAATGTCAAAAGCCTTTGGCTCTGGTGGTGCAATATATACTGTAATGATAATGTCTTGACGAGGCTGATAAAGTGGCGTAGGATGGGATTGGGGACAGGATTGTGGATGCGGGATAGGATGGGATTGGGGACAGGATTGTGGATGCGGGATAGGATGGGTTACACCGAACATAAAAGTTGCACAAACTTCTGTTTTATTGCGCCCCCCCGCAAGTCAGTTTCTGAGAAAGCCCAGTGAATTTGTATCCTGCTTGTATTTTGCAACTTCCAAATTATTGTTTCTTTTGGCATTTCCATGCATGGGCCTTCACCTGTTTGTTGCCAAATCTTCAGTGCAGCGCACCATTGAAATCTTCGCTGCAGCATTGGGATTCCTAAACAAAGAATCTTCATTGCAGCTGGTTGTAGGACAGAGCTCTGACCAGGAATTGTAGGCATCGCCCAAGCATTGTTTGGCAGCGTCCATCGGGCATCCCATCCATTTTCACCTATGGCAGTTTGTTTGAGTTTCATGTCTTGGTGTAGAGGGATGTATATAGAGGATCGGGGGACTGGATGGAGAAGGAAGACGGAGAAAGACGAGGGGACAAGACACATACTGTAGAGGATTCGAATGGAGGGTTGCTAAGACGTGATGGATTTGACAGGGATAGGTGCCCAAGCGGCAAGGTTTCTTGGTACTCTTCTGGGAGACACTTGCATCGAGAGCAGCTAGTGTGAAAAGAGATTGCACCTTTTGTTCGCTGCGCACTTTCGCCATACCCCCTTCATGAAGGTGTGCCACAGGCAAGTTGGAAGACTGCCGGTGGAATTGTTTTTGGCCGTCGCTGTGTTGCGCAGTTTGACATGTTTTTGGACATGTTTGTGCCGCTTTGCTGCTGATAAGTTGACCGATCGCTCGCAGGCGTCCTTTTGGTCGTCGGGTGGCTCTTGTCACGTTGAAATTTGTCAGGGTGTGGTTTGGCGAAGTACGTGTTGAACGTGGCAGCGTCACATTGGTTAGTTGATCTTGTGGCACAGTCTGAATACTGCTGAGCTTGTTGATTCAACTGCTCTGTGACCTGAAGAAAGCTGGCGTGGCATAGTGTCGGGTCGCAGCAGTAATCCCGGTTGACCGAAATCTGGTTGATGCGCCATTTTGGTGCAGATAGTTGAGGTTCCAGGAACTTTCTCAAGGTGCCAGCGGATGCAATTTGGAGGTCCTCAGAGCTGAAGTCCGTTGGCATGACTGTATGGAGGAGGAAGATCACTGAGTCCTTCCGGCGATTCTAGCCTTAAACTTTCTGTGCGAGTTGTATATATATTTGGCCGATAGGCCGTAACTTCCGTCGGCTGGTGTTGGCACCAGTGCTCCAATTGCTCGCACCCATTTGCTTCTATGCCGCCACTCTGGAATTGTCAACAAACCTTGCCGCCCCTCTTTGCCACGCCCGCTGACACCCCTCTTGCCGGCCAAATGTTTGATACGGAAACTAAGAGATTACTGTAAATGTTGGTTTTACCAGCGGTCTCTTCCTTGCAGCCTCCATGCATAGATGGGGCCTCCACAAGTCCACCTTTCATAGCTCATCGAGGTGGGCGAGAGTTAAGCTGTTTGGAGGTAGGCGGCAGATCGGATATATCATTAGGCCAATCTAGAGCTTTTCAAGCTTTGTGTGGTGTGGCCTATTCTTTTCTTGGTCAAGCTATGTTGTGCAAGAGAAGCTGCTCAAGATTTGTGAAGCGGTCGTCTACGCCTGCAATCTTCTTTAAATCTGGCTTTGGCTGTCGCAACAGATGATGTCATTATTTTGGCAACCAGACTATGTACATCGTCAGAGGCTGCTGCAAAGTTGGTCGAGGTGATGTGGGAACAGAATGTTCTGCGCACTGCAAAAGACTCAAACAACAGGCTGAATGTAGATCTTGAAGTGGGAAAAGGGCTGGGGGTGCCACCTGCTCGCACTCTGGCCATGGTTGCTTTCCTTCACACTTCGCAAGCAGTCCGCAAAGGTGGTCCATGGGGTCTTGACCACGTTGCAATGGGACTTGCTTATGCGAGCTGAGGCTTTTCTTCGTGTTTGTGCCTCAGATTCTAGCACCGAGTTTCAAATAGAGGAGGTGAAGCACTTGGCCCGGCTAGCTGCCAAGCAGGGCTAGATTGTGGTTCTGGAAGAAAACTTCATCCCCACAAGTTGAATCTTGCAGGGGAGGTATAAAGCTCAGGACAGGATCGAGCATAGCCTATCCTGCACAGACATTGAACCGAAAGGATATCAAGTATTTGCATCGGGAGGGTAGAGATTATGGTGTGTGTTTAGACTTTAGACAGAAAGGCGGATAGTGCTAGGAGGGTGAGGCAAAGACCAGAAGGGCGAACAAGATAAACGAGCATCAAAATGAGACTCGGAACTCTTTGTCGCTGCAGGTGTTGCTCCTTTTCCAACAGGATCCTTTGACATGACAAGGTGTATTCGGATCCATGGCTTTTTGGATGAATAGGTCCAAGGATGTGGTATGAGTCACATGCCTCTCCTGCTTTGGCTTGTCTCGTTTGACTCTTGTTCTGATTTTTGCACTTGTTCAGTGAGCAGGGTTCAAGATGACACTACTCTAATGGAGCGTATCTTTGCGTCAAAGAGGAAACAATCCAATGGCCATGCGTGTGCGTGAGGGCTGTACTCAAAGAACTGTGGAACTTGGAAAGTCTTTTTTCACCCTGCTTGGGGTAATGAATAGACTGAACAAGGCACGGGCGGTTCTGGTCGGACACCTCGCGTGGACTTGGAGTGTGAAGTCTCTGCGTGCTGTTGTATGGTTGGGCCAATACGGTATCATTCTGCCCTTTCAGAATATTTCCTGGTGAGGGTAGAAAGTATCCATGTGCCTGCTGACATTGCCCAACTTTACTTCCTGTTGGTGACATTGTGTTACCGCTTACCACGCTGCAGCAATCTCAGCCCAGTTTGTGCGATCGTCAATCCTATTTCAGATGTACAGCCTTTTGCATTTTGTTGGTTGACCCTCAATTGTGCTTCAGGCTCACCATGCCACTGCTACGACGCCTCCAAAAGGCACGTGGCGCCCAGCCTTGGCATTTGCCTTTTCCAAATTGGATTTCAGCATTGCTGCCTCGATACTACCCCTATTTGACGTGCTCGCTCCCACAGCTTCACCATACAGGAATTTCTTCTTCTCGGCGGCGCCCCAACAGCGGCTACATCCGAGAGACTGAGACCTGGGCACGCTGCAAATTCGTCGGGGACTGAGAGGCGCGGTTTCATGAGCCAGCCGCTCAGCCTGACTGCGAAGGAATGGCCGGACAGTCCAAAACTTCTGAGCCTCGATGGTCAGGCTTCAGGGTTTGTTCCCAACTGCACACGTGTGCAATATTTGGGTTTGGAGACACGTGGCAGGCTGAACCTGCTGTGGCGGCACATGCCAGAAGCAACGATTCTGAGAGGAGCAATGGCAACACCTTTTTCCGAGTCAAATCACAGTGTAGAGCAAGGTACTGTATATACTTGGGTGATCTTGACTGTAAAGGTTGTCAAAGCCCAGCAACTTCCAGCTGCAAAGGACACTTGTGAAGCAGTCAGCGCATGGGTATGCTGCAAGGCAGTTTGTTCGGGTCAGTTTGTCCACGATGTGCCATGCAAACTAAAGCATGGACAGGCAGAGCTCCACTTTCAATGGCTTGAAGGACTTGGATGCATTGAATTGAACAGTTTCTTTCTTGTATGCTGGTGGGGACGATGAAGCAGAGCATCCTAGGAGAGGCTTCGCGAATTTTCGATTTTGTCTCCGCATCATGGTGCTTGTGACTCAGTTGGTGCCATTTCAGTCACTTGCATCCAGCACCGGCCGAGTAATTATATATGAAGTTCAAGTTCCACGAAGGCAGCTGCGGCATCCTATTCTTGGGAGGAGCCCACAATATCAGGGCAGATTTAGTCAAAGTGCTTCAAGATTACTTGCATTTAAGCACCAATTTGCATTTTAGTATGTCGTTGCTTCACATCATGTTTTTTGTATTTGTTTGAAGAGCCAATCTCCGTTTCTTTGGGTCCTGCTGGCCAAAGATGGAGGACTTGCCACTGCAGCTGCAGAATGCTTTGGGCTTCTTGCAAAAGCTGCCGGCATTTCCCCAAACAAGCCTCAGCCATGCAAGGCCAGGTCAAATGTGATGCATAGTTGAGCCCACGGTCTGTTCAGCCTCGTGCACTTTTTGGAAGGCCTTTCCTGCCACCTTCAATGAAGCCAACACTTGTTTTGGATCTGGATGAAACCTTGGTGGGCACGCCAGATTGCCAGCCATCTAGCCTTCGTTTTTTTGTGGAGCAAGCCAGACGTGCAAGCAAAACTCTGCCAATATCGGTAGTCAGATCGCTGCCGTCGTGAACATTGAGTCAACAACATTCAGTCCTGAACATTGGTCTGTCAGGTTCATTGCTGCCGTGGTGAAGCTCGAATCACTGCCGTGCCTGATGTGGTTGTTGAGGCTGCATTATGTGCAGACTATTCCTGCAGCTTCGCGGAATTTTCCGCCCACACTGGAGGGGTTTAAGTGGACAGTATGTTTGCTATGTCGTCTGGGCATTCATCCTTCACCTAAAAAGCTGTTGGACTCTTCTATTTTGGGACTTATGGTGCCAGTGAAGTTATAGCGACGACTTGTAGCAGTAGTACGACTTAGACTTGTAGCATTGGTACAAGTTCGTTTAACGACAAGCTGCCAAGCTCGTATCAATTGGTACGAGTCGCTTCCAACCACTGTGCACTGTGTGCAACCACTGTGCGTACGGAGGGAGTGAGTGAGTGAGTGAGTGAGTGGGTGAGTGGGTGAGTGAGGGACAGTGAGTGCGTGCGTGGGTGGGTGGGTGGGTGTCAGCTCCTTTTTCTAAGGAACTCTGTCACGCACTCAATTTATACATATATAGATCTAATTTGTACAGGGAAGCAGGGGGGCAGAGAGGACGTGCAAGGCTCTGCCCTCTTTGCACTAGTCCTAGGAAGCGGGAGCTGATCACTCCTGTGTACCTGCAAACTTTTAATCTCTCTCTCTCTCCCTCCCTCTCCCTCCCTCTCTCTCTCTCTCTCTTGTTTTAACTGTTGAGCAAGGTGTGACTCTCATCTCCGTGTAAAGTGCTACTGCAGTAAAGGGGTAGCGCGTTTACCCTTCGCCTTGTTGTTCCTGCGAGTCAAGGTCTAATGTAATCAGTAACTAGCTCCCGGGAATGTCCAAACTGATATAGCTCTTGCGAGAGTGGATTTGGAGCACCGCCCTTTGGTCTTTCTAAAAGGTCAACTTTGCCGCGCTATTCTTTTACGCATATTGTCTTCCAATTCTCGCCGCACCAATTTTCTTCCGCTACTGCACCGCCTTTGACCCAAACAAGCACTTTACATAACTGATTGCCTACAACCTTTGGTCATTTACCTCCGCTTTCACCCACATCGTGCCGCCTACTACATTGGCAGCACCATCCTGGCCTTGTTTGACCGCGCCCGCAAATTTCGACAACTTCTCAGCGGCATCACCGCCTACTACGAACCTGCGCTATGACTTTGGCATCGTACTCGCACTTACTACCACCATGCCGTCATCCCTTTGGAGTTTTGCCCTGATACGATCACCGCCCGCAGCAAGGAGATCTCCTATACCAACAACACCACCACCCACAACTCAACCATCCTTGGATCAGCCCTCTTCTTCGGCGACATGGTCTTCAACGCCCTCAATACACACTCCCCACCACTCGAACTGGACCCATTGGGGCGACTCGCCTTCATCGCCACCGACGTCGACAGGAACGCCATCATTGTCAAGAATGTCTTCTTGATTTCCACACCAAAGAGAAGTTCTACACTTCTCAGACTCTACGTAGTCATGCTGCCTCCCCGGATATCCTCTACCTACTTTGGTCACAACATTTTCACATTGATGAACCCTGGCGATCGCGTGCTTCCTCCCAGTTGAAACTTGGTTCCTCCGACTCACGCTGCATTACGGCTACTACTACTCTCTCATGATTTCCTTCGAGACACGCGACAAATTCTTCGTCAATTCCTTCAACACAACTCTCACCGTTTTCCACCTCTTCAAGTACTATCTTCACCAAACGTCGAGATCAAGGCCCACACCCTTGAGCACTACATCTTCAACTTCAGACGATTTCTTCGCAGTTGGGAACCCACTATGACTCCGCAGTGTTCATGTCATATCATTCGCCCTGACATTCCACGACACCCTGACTCTGGCCACGTCATTGGATTTGCTTCCGACCTCTTTCCGGCACTTCTGATTTCCTCTGCAAGTCTTCAGGATGCAGTTTGGCCTCAGGAGCGACACTTGCTCAAACATTCCATCACGCAGCGGGAGCGATGGTTCGGCTCCTGGTAACATTTTTTTACCACCTGTGCCTCTCCTTCCGGCAAAATTGCTTTCTGGTCTTTCTTTTTCCTATCCCACTTCCTTCCTAGGTCAACTTCTCTCTTCTCACTCACTCACCACATTTTTTGGCGAGTTATGCATTACCTGTACCGCAGCTGCTTGACCTCCTCGAATTCCCCGTCGGTGCTCCCTTCCTTCTGGACGTACGCATCACTATCGTCATGGGGACTGCTCCGGAGGTCTCATTGGACGAGATTTCGAACGATCGATCCAACCCTTCGATGGAGACGGCACCTACCAGGAACACAAAAAGCCCATCTTGATGGTAATCGTCCTCATTCTGATCTTCCCCCTGGTCCGCACGATCTCTCGGCACAGTCCGATTCCAACGATGAGGTCCCCGCCACCAATGATTCAACCTCCTTCACACCACTTCCTCGTGTGCCTAATCGCTACAATGAGGATTGGCAACGCTGGCATCACTATTGGAACTCACATCCCTGGGAAGAGTGGGTTTGTCGCTCCCTTAGCGAACAACGTCATTGGTTCTATCGTAGTTGGTCCCATCTTCAAACCGTTCCTGACACTGATACTATGCTGGACTACTACCGACATACCTCCAACCACTATGTCGATCTGCATCCAGACTTCTGGGGCAAACCCCGGTACTACCGGGTTTGGACTACTCACGGTTGGCAATTTGTTCTTACAGCCATGGCCACTGAACCCATTTGGCAACTTTGCGACTCCTTCGAGGCAGCAACCGCCACTCAACAAGCTGTTCTTGACAGCCTTCCTCGCGGGACCAAACGCCAGGCTGTTGAAGCCCTTGAAAGTCAGCATTTGGATCGTCTTGTTGACTCACTTGTTCAGAGACTCTTGGACTTCGACATTTCAGGGAATCCGGCTCTTCACGGACTGACACCTATGGATCAACAACATGTCATTGGCTCTTTGATTCATCAACTCGCGCGATCTCCGCAGAAGGTCGCCACCCTGCCGGATGTTGAAGTTGAAGTTGTAGTTGTGTAGGTGAGTATTGTGAGGGTCCTCACCCGTATCTCAGCACCTGCATCCCCTGTATCCCAACACTTGTATCTCAATATCACCTATATCCCAACACTTGTATCTCGACATCTGTATCACCTGCATCCCAACACCTGCATCTCAACACTTGTGCGTCTCAAAGGGCAGACTGCAGGCATTGTTGATAAGTTGGACCTCCTTCAAGACGTACAACTTCCAGTGGGTCGAAAGAACGTAGTTAAGACATAGATGGTACAGTATATGCAAAGTACAATGCGCAACAAACTGATAGAGAGGAAACCAATTCAATCAGGCACGGTACGGGGCAGTAGTCTATACCAGGTACCAGAATGTGATACAATGTACAGTACAATAGCATATGCAAGAATGCGATGCAATGCAGTGGATGAAAAAGACAGATGACAAATTGCAGGCACTGTTAAATACAAGTGGGTTCCTCTTGAACATGTACAAGTTCAACGCAGTCGAATTATGCTTGTGAAATTGTATAACCGCATGTATACACGTCAGTCACGCGCTTTCACTGACAAAACCGCGTGGCCAGCTGTTTAGTTTGGGCATGCAGTGTTTTTTGGATAGTTGTTTGAGCCTCAAGTTTCAATGCAAGCCGCCCTGTGCAGTTCGATGATGGTATTAGCATTGGCCGCGTGCACTTTCGGCCCTTCGTCCACGTCTTTCTCGAGGCCAAACATTCAGGGACTATTCAGAGTCGTGCATGTCACTTTCTCGGCAGAAAAACCTTGCAAACTCGATAGTGCGTTGAGCCTTATTTTTTCTTTTTGAAGTTCACCTCGTATCCAGCTTTCAACCAACCCCGGACTTGGTGAGATCATTTTCTTGAATTTAAAAGAAACAACATTTTCTTGAATTTAAAAGACAACAACAATTTTTTTGGAGAGTGAGCTGACTTGTGGCTTCGCATGTCCTTCCCGGGCCTCTATCCTTGTCTCCTGAAATTGGCTGTAACTAATGTAGCTTTGTAACTTGGTCACCAACGCAGGAAGGCATAAATGCGTCAAAAAAGACTTTCAACCAAGAACTGGTGCAGACGATCCAAGACGGTTATTGCCTGGCCTCGTTGGCAGGTGGTTGCAAAGACTTTCGAAGTCGTCATTTTCACAGCTTCACAGCAATTATATGCAGACCAGGCGCAACTTGTGGGAATGATCTGCGTCCACAAGCAGAATGGTCTTGCTGAAAGCTGGACCTAGACTGTGTTGTGCTGTTGTGTTTGCCACAAGGTCATCGATGCGCTGGATCCAGCCCGAACTCTCATTTCGCACCGGCTGTACCGACAGCACTGCACGGACAGCCCAATGCCATTCAATGCCTGCAAAAGATGCTGTCAAATTTGTGCGGCCTTTTGATGTGGCTCTGGAATGGCACTCGCACTCCGCGCAGTGAGTTTCAATCACATTGGTGTCAACTGTCAACGTCACTCTTTTTTGCCATTCAACAGCGTGGCTGTCACGTAGATGCTGGCCTTCCAATGCATTTTGAATGGAGGAGTTTCAGGGCGCATACTTCAAAGAGCTCAGTTTGTTGGGAAGACCGCTGTGCAAGGCAGGTTTCATTCAGCTGCATTTTGCCTTGACACATCTTGAAGGGGTCACAAATATGACACGACGATAGCTGCTTTGTGACCTTTTTGCTCATGGCCTTTTGACAGTGTGTTCTTGTGGACAACTCACCCATCTCCGTGGCTTGCAATGCCCAGAATGGTGCCCAAGCCTTGGCACGTTGACTTTGCATCCAGCTTCCACGGACATAGCTTCCCATGGTTCAAGGTTCTTATTCGAAGTTGGTATGGAGACTTGCGGGACCAGGACTTAGACGATTGAAACATTGAGCCTTGCATTTGATTTCAACTTGTAGCAACATGTGAATGAGGATGAAGGGTCAGGGCCGACAAGGTCGTCCAGTAACCCTCTTGGTCTCCAAGTCTCCACCCATTTTGGTTGAGAGTGGGATTCTTGGGCAAGAATGTCTTGCGGCCTGGCAACATGAGCCTATTTTGCATGCCATGGCAGGAGCTATTGGCGCTTCTAGAGGTTTTGGAGGAGTGATTGCCAGCATCAGAGGGTGTTGGTGATTCCTTTACAAGCTACAGGTTTTGGTTAAAAGCTTGAACTTGTTGCCCAGCCTGTATTTATCAGTTGACTGAAGCACTAAGGCAAAGAATGTTCCAGCAAAGCAAAAATGCACTGCAATGACATGGAAGACTGAGATGGTTCACAACTCCAGTTGCTTGTTCACCAAAGACAGCAGGCCGAATGCACAACAATTTCTATATATATATATATATCCGACTGTTTGTCACACTTATATACAGGACAGTTTTGTGAGACACTCTTGCTTGACACTCTCAGAGTCACATTTGTGCGACACCCTTGTATGACGCTCTTGTGGAGCACTCTTGTGCGACGCTCACTTGGTGCTTTCTCATGCCTCATGCGAGGAAGAGGTCACAGTGGTGGTAGGGGGACTGCTCTCGCTGTGGCTGGCTTTTTTTGCAGCAAAATCTCCTTTCTTGCGACACCCGACTCATCACAAAACCACAAGCAAATCGCAAGAACCACGTCATACTACACGGCACCACGCTTGGCACAAGCAGTCCGCGTAATAGAATGCCTTGCCATGTTTCTCTTGATTTGCGGCGTTTAGTTTTGGTTGTTTTGTTTGGTTGGCCTAAGGCCCCCTAGGCTTAGTTTTTGTTTGGGGCCTCGTTACCAATGTGATCAGAGGACATGCGAAGATACGATGAGCGCATTCCAGGCTTTGATAGGCCATGTTACCAACGACGGATTTCTTGGCTGCCCGGGCAGAATCCATGGATGCAGTTCATAGCTCTTGATGCCCACTGCTTGACAGGTACTTGTCCCAGCGATATGGCTTGACGGGTTTCTTTCAGGACCGATGGGACAGCTGCGCAAGCCTGCAAACCAAACAATGACATTTTCTTGTGATGTTGTGGAGGCACTTCACGATTTCATGCCCAACGAACCTGAGTGACCTTGAACTCAATGGGCAGATGTACAGAAAAGCATTGGAGTTTTTGTGCTTCAGTGTTTTGCCGTAACACTAGGGACTACTGTTGCTGACAAGCAGCGTGACATACAGTGACAGCAGACATGCCTCATCACTTGGTGGGGTTGTTGCGCGGCAGCGTGCCTTGAGAATGGGGGGTCCATCACAAGCTGAACATGTTGCAGCCGTGCGCATAACGTTTGGGGTTGTTCCCACTGTGCTTTTGGCGTTGCTGGTATGAGCTTTCCTCAGTTTTTTTGAGCTTCTGAGAAGCACTGACTTTCCGAAGTATGGCAACTTTGGAAGGTCTGAATTGGGGGCTTTGGGTGCCGAGCTGTGGATTGACAGCTTGGAATTTGCATATTCGGAAACGTTCAGGCTTATAGCTCGTGACAGCTCCGATACGGGTTAAAAAGTCAAAGCCATGCGGCGATGTTATTGTTGCATTGTACGCTGTGTGCAGTTTGAATTTGTCATGCCCAAGTTGTCCGGATACAGATGGTTTGAGACAATGCCATGGTGTTGAGAATGCGTGCAGAAGATTTGCAGTACTCAAGGGTCGTGGCCGCTGACAGATTTGAAGCCGTCCGATCCCTAAGGAAATTTGGTCCATGTTCAACTTTTGACCTTTGGTGGATCGCTTTATCCACATGGAAGGGACTGATTCAGATCGAGGCATTGGCCAAATGGGGCAAACAGCCTGTATCGAGTCCATGTGCCAAGCTATTCTCTTAGGGAGAGTGCGCAACTTCTATGAGAGTTGGCATACGATTTGCTTGATGTGGTCTTCTAAGTTCTGGCAGAATTGAAATGAATTGACTTCTTTCAGGCCAAGACAGGTGCTGGTGACACTGAGACATCAGGAGACCCCCAGTTGAAAAGCCAAGACGAGAAGGCAAATCGCCTTCTTCCAGATGTCTCACGAGAACACCACATGTCTACTGTTTTGTGCCAGGCTTTGCCTCGGTTGCTTGGTGACTCCGCAAGGAGTGTGGGCTCCTCACTGAAGCCAAAGTTTTGGGGATCGGGTAAAGATCGATAGATTCTGAGGTGGACAAAACTGTTGGAAAAGAAGCGGCGAAGGACGACTATGACATGATGACAACTTCTGGGGAAGGAAATTGCTGCAATTCAATTGTATATATACTTGGCCGCAGGATGGTGAAGAACACAACGAGAGCGCCGAGGGCGCAATGGAAGATCGAGTCATTGGCCAGGCATAAAGATTGCGATGTCACCGAGTGAGGGAAAGTACTTCATGTCGCATCCAGAGAACTTTTTTAAGGCTAAGTTGCCCGCTGTTAGGTAGAGTCAGCTACGTCAGTTGGAGGGTCAAAAGAAGACCAGGATGAAGGCCTTAGAGCGACGGTTTGAAGTTGCACAGTTGTTTTTCATAAACTACAAATGTCACGATCAAAAGTGATCTTATCTTGCTTCAGATTTGATTGAATTGATGATGGGAGACTTCTTTTGGCCTCTTTGGCAGTCCAGGCCACACAAGCAAGGCTTTGCGAAAATTAGAGAGGCAGGAGCTGAAAGCAGAGACTTTCCTCAAGTTATGCAGTCTGGGTTTTGTTTCTTTCTTTTTGCAGGGCAGAGGCAAGAAAGCAGGTTCTCCCATTCCTGCTGAGATGCTGGCTTGTTTTATATAGATCGGTGAATTGTCAGCATTGACGCGTGCTTCAAGTCACAAGCGTAGGAGCCGTAGGAGCTAGGTTCTGCAAGTTTATGGATTTCAATTGGCTTCGTAAATCACGCCAGGCTGTCCAACATTGTCCAACTATATAAGCTGATTCAACTTTCAACCGCATCGGACACAAAAGCTAAGCTGCAAGATTGTTCTTGCTACAATGAGTTGTGTGCCACTTGTGGATGCTTAACAATCCTGGTAAGAACAAGCAGGCTGCTGTTGAATGGTCACACACACACATATATATATATATATAAATATCGATCCTTTCTGATCTACAGTAGCCAAAATGATTGAATTGAATGGCAAGGCAGAATGGCTTTCAAACCGTTAAGTCCAAGAAGACATGGTTCTGGAGGCAAGATGAAAGGGGATCAAGAAGGGAGGGCACCAAAAGCAAGTTTCTGATGGTGTTATACCAAGGTCTTACTATCCTCTCCACGCGGCGGTCAAGAAGAAGGACATCGAGACCGTGCGTCTTTTGCTGACCGCAGGCTGGGACACATCTCTCGAAATAACACATCCAGCGTTGTTTCTAGCTTATATTGTTTCTAATAGCAAACATTGTTACTACTAGTAAGGCACTTAAGGCACTTGTTACCCAAAGGTGCAGACCCACAGAAATTGAACAACAAGTCAGAGACGCCTTGGCCTCAATGTTCTATTCGCGATTCTTGCTGCCCCTACATTTCAGCTGTCCGATTCTGAAGTCGTCAATCCTTGATATTGTGATGATGTTTGTGTGTGAAGTTGCTCGGAATTGCTCGTGCGAGCTAGGTTCTTGTAATTTTCGACTGCCAGAGGGTACTAGGGTAGCTAGGGTAGCCTTAAGGCCACAGCAGCTGGCCGAGAGTGTGCTCCTCAATGAAGTGTCATTGTCTTTACACACTCTTGATTTGTCACGCGGACCTCAATGGAGGTGGATCAAGACAGGCATGCTTTGCTAAGGTGTGTGGGTGTGTGGGGCCACCAAGTTTGGTGAGGGAGGCCCTCCCTTGTTTTAGCCATACTTGTTGCAGGCCCCAAGACTGAACGCAGACTGCAACCACTTCAATCTTCAAGCACTTCGGAACAGCAGAGCTACACTCAATATTGAAAAGATGTGAAAAATATGTTTGAAATAAATATATATAAATCGAGAGATATTTCCTTTACAACCAATGTCTCCACACGTACCGTTCTCAGAAATAACTCTAGTCTTAATTCTTTGCAACTCTTCTGCGCATATCGAAGTATTAGCTCGCTCAGACGGCTCGCTCAGACGGCTCGCATAACTGTTCTTAACAAGCTCGCTCAGAAGGGTTTTGGAAAGAATCCTGTATCAAGGCAAAGCCTGTTCACTGACCCCTTCCAACGAATTAACTCGGGCTGGTGTTATCGGCTAGATAGGCTTGGGACACCAGTGTCACTCTCTAGAGAACTGTTCAGGTAACCTTTCGGTAATTCACTTCTTTATTTTTAAACTATTCAGTTTCGTGACGACCGTCTGCCATTTTGGCGAAAAGGGTGGCACGTTCGCCAGGAAATTCACTCGCTTTTCAGGTCAACGGGCCTGGGGTTTCCTTCGATCGTGCCATGGCATCAAGCAGCTCTGTTCAGAGCGAGATCCCTTCGAAGGCGGCTCCAGCCGTGGTCAAGCCGAAAGCAAAGCCTCCTCCTGCCGCTCTTCAAAGACAGGCACTTAACGCTTCGGCTCGATGGGACGATTCCAGCTCTGTGAGTTCATGGTGTCGTTTGGATGAGGATGCTCATGGTCTTGGTGCTCGCTCTATGCCTCAAGTGCCTGAGGATCAACAGGTTCTTCAACCTCCCGGCTCTGAAGCCACACAAGCTGCTCAGCCCAATGTCGTGCCTCCACCACCACCTCCTGGTGGACCTTCTTCAAGTTTCCCACCGGCGACCAATGCGGCTCCTGCAGTGCAAGCGGCTCAGAGCTTACTGGGTCATGCAAATGAAGTTCCTGCCTCGAGGCGCCTTCGTCGCCAACAAGAACAAGCGAGGCAGACGAGCTTTCAGGTGGGGCCAAATGGCTCCAGGAGACCTAGCCCACAATCCGCTCAATACACAGCTCCCTGGCCACCTTTCTCAAGTTGGCTCCAACGAAGGGGAGCGTTCAGTCTTGATCATGGACAATCGTGACAATCGTATTCAGAGTCCATTCCAAGGCTGGCTGATCAATGAGGTGCTCACCAACGCGTTGTCCTATGTGAACATCAAGTCTGACAGAGCCCTGGTGAGATCTCCTTCGAGTGGTTACCACTTCAGCCTTTTCATGGTGCGCACGCTGGACTCAGTGAAGGTCACGATCTGTGGCTCTGCGACATGCTATTCAAGCGTGCCCTGTGCAAAGTGGGATGCCCTGTCGGGTGAAGTGCTATCGCACGCGGCATTTCAACCGTTCAGATGGCCGCCAATGACTGAGTCGAGCCCGACCTGGGTCGATGTGAAGGTGAAGCTCGAAGGACAGCTCCTCGTCCACCTCGAGCTAAGGGGCTATCGCTCAGACAAAGATATGGCGGTTCAGCTGTGGCACATCGCCGACGCCATACACACGATTCTCAATGAGACGGTGTTCATCCCATCGATCGTGGTCACGGTCTTCCAAGGCTGGAGAGTGATAGCATGTTCATGGGAGGTTGGCGGTCGCCTATATGTGTGCTCTGAAGGAGGGATCGTTGTGGCATTAGACTTTCCTCTATGCCACTTCGAATGCCGCTTCGTGGCCACGTCGTCGCCTGACTCGTTCGGAGCCGACGCAGATAGATTGGAATTCCGATTTCTCCCAGCTGCCGATCGGCTTGACGTCAGTGCAAGTCTGGCCTGCGTACCACCATCGTGGCTTGTGTTCAGCAGGGTTTCAGGACCTACTTTTTGATCAGAAGCGCCTCTTGGGGACGTGAGCATGGCGCCAGGGTCGAGAGTCCTGATCAAGCCCTACAATTTGCGCAGCTCGCCGCAATCCATGCTCACTGGACGGCGAAGACCGAGGCCACCACGGAGGAGGACTCTGGCCCGCGGGTGTCAGCGATCGCTGTCGAGTCCAATGCCCTCAACTTGCACCTCGTCTGCGAGTCTCCTTTCTTCAAGAAGGACAGGGTGATCGTGAAGGCTGAAGCTCTCGCTCTGCAATCGCACGATCCGTTGGATGAGGTCGTCGCAAGTATCGTACCACCACTTGTGGACGGTCCGACAGTGCGGCCTTTGGATGGTGCTCCCAAGCTGGCTCCAGCCCTAGCTGCTCCTCAGGCTCCGTCAGAATTCTCGGCGGGTCCAGTGCCGGTCAGCAGCGTGGCTCCATCGATTACAGCTCCAGGGCAATCGCCCACGCCGAGCTCTTGGACTGGGGGTTCTTTGGCTCCATTGAGGAGGACGCTGGATCAGCGCAGGGCCGACAGCCTTGATCATTCGGCCATGACACCTCAGGCGTTTGTCGATGCTGCCCGCCGGTTTGGAGGTCATCCCCCTCAGAGGTCTGCTCAGACCTCTACGGTGAGGATCAATGAGGTGCAAGAAGATCAGGGTGATCGACGGCCCAAGTCTTTTACCCCAGCTCGGCCAGACGTGACAGATGTCTAGAAGTCGAGCGGCTTTTGATCGTTCCAATTTCAATTAGCAGGTTCTTCAACCAGCTCGAAGAAGGTGAAAGTTTGCTCGCGCTAAGAAACTTTCAAACAATTCGGTCGAGCGTTGAAGATTTCCTTTTTGACCTCATTTCTGTTTGCAGCAGTTCTTGCGGTTGTGTCTTGATTTGTGCACTCCATCACGCCGATCGGCGCTTCGAGACCTTCGTATACGCGGTCGCGTGTGAGGCAAGATTCTCAGCTGGGAGGGCTGTGGGACCCCAGAGGGTCTCTCACCAGAGTGGCGCTCGCACTTGTCGTACTTAACATGTAGCAGGTGCTGCGCACTCATGGTCTGATGTTTCCCTCTCGGGGTAGGATTTGATTTGATTTGATCAACACTAGTGTTTGAGATGGGAGAGATTTTTCATTTTGTACATCAAGCGATCATAAGTTTTTCAATTTGAGATTCTTCTTCATGTGAGTGTGGGAGCTCTTTTCACGCACCATGTATCGCTCGAGTCCGATCGCTCGATGTGAACCTTGCTTGTCGTTTCAGGCTCGAAAGCCGGCGATGTCAGGCACCACCGATCGGTGGGTTTCACGCATCCTCGATTTGCCCGTGTTCGATGTCGCATTTGCTCAGGCGGCGAAGAGCACCTTTGGCAAAACCTGGCATTCGTATCAGCGATGGAGGTTGCGAACGGGCTCGAGTTTGTCGATCGGACGCTTCATTTTGCACAGACTTTGGACGCATCGATCGCGACCGTGTTCGAGGGAAGGGAGCTCATGTTGGAACAGTTCTGGACACTAGCCTCTTCGGTTGAAAGGCTTATTTCGAGTCCACTGCCGTACAACTCGGTTTCGGCCTTTGTGAGTCAGCGGTGGTCGCTCGACCAGAAGATCCAACAGCGTCGCTGAGAAAGCGAGCAGCGATTGCAGCTCTAACCTCAAAGCCTGTGTCTCATCCGAAACGTTCGAAGAAAGGGCCAGAAGAGGCGTCTTCGTCCACTACGCCTTTACTCGATCGTGAAAAATCGGAGAAGAGGCGGTGGGCAGCTCGACTTGAGGAGATCGGGTTGCGTGCAGGTGTTCATGCCAAGTTGTTCCATGAATTTCAACTCGGCCCTGATCTTTCACCAGCCGAGAAGATTCAGCTCAGGAACTCGGTCTTGGTTTCAGGTGCTCATAGAACTATGGCCGCTCATGTGAAGACGTTCGAACGTTTTGAAAGGTGGGCAAGCACTCTCGACGGTTCGTTTTACCCGCTCACTATTGACAAGGTTCTGAAGTACGGCCTCTTTCTGAACGCTCGTGAGTGCGGACCTTCAGTGCTTCCTACCTTTCGAGCTGCCGTGAAATGGGTGTGTGCTCGGTTAGCTATCGATCCCCCCAGTTTTGAGGACCATCGTTTCCTTGCACTCCAAGCTACAGTCATGGCCGATCGTGCAAAGACCCTCAAGGAGGCCTTCCCTTTCCCACTTCGGGTAGTTTCTTTGCTCGAGGAGGCGGTGCTTGACGACAAGCGCCCGACGGCAGCTAGAGTGTTCATTTGGTGGATCCTTTGTATGATCTTCGCCTCCCTCCGATTCGACGATGCCATCCACGTCAGGCCTCTCGAGCTGGAGATGAAAGAGGAAGGACTCTTCGGGGTGTCTTGGCAAACGAAGGTCGAGCGGAAACGTGTGGGCACTCGCTTCGTCGTACCGAATATCGGCTTTTCGCGCTCGACGTGGCTTGAAGTTGGCTGGGCTTTGTTCAAGACCTTGCCCGACCTGGATCGAGATTTTTGGATCCCTGAGCTCAATACACAGGCATCTTTTCAGACGGTGCCACCCACGTTCGCTCGCACACTACAGTGGATGAAGTTCCTCAGTCGGAAGGCAGTCGATGAAGCTCGTCAGCTTGAGAAGACAGAACAGGTCGAGTGCGCTTTTCAGATCAGCAAGCTCACCATGCATTCATGTCGTGTTACGTTGCTTGACGCAGCAGTTCACGCAGGTCGTTCGACTGAAGAAATTGGCCTTCAGGCCAATTGGAAGAACCCTGGCCCGCTGGTCCTCAAATATACCAGAAACCGCTCGGCAGTTCCAGCTTTGATGGTGAAGCAGCTCGTCAAAGATCTTGTTCAAGAGTCGCACCCAGCACAAGAGAACGAGGACACTCTGTTCCTTGATGCTCCGGATGCGGACCTCGGGATCCTCGAGTTCTTCATCAAAAAGCCGTCGACGGGTTCCTCGTACGAGTACAAGTATCACTGCAATTCTCGTTCGAATGAAGAGTTCACCGCAT